AAATCAACAAAGAAAATAAGAAACAATGAGCGAACTAAGGCCAGTTCAGCAAGCTTGAGAAAACCCAGATTTAGAGAGGAAGAAGGGAGACGAGAGAGAGAGAGAGAGAGAGAAAGAATAAGAAGAAGAAAAAAGAAGGATGGTGTGATTTTGATTTTGATTTTAATTTTGCAAAAGTAGTAGGTTTAGGGTTTTGAATCTGAAAAGGAAATGAAAAGAGAAACGAAGAAAACTGTGATTTTTTAGGAATTTGATTGAAATTGGAAAAAGAGAAAATAAATTTTCATGTAGGCCGCATTAAAAGGAGAAACTGAGAAGGCGACAATATAACGAGTAAAAAAATGTCATGGTGACAATATTTTCTTTGTTGGATATACACGTCATTAAAATTTTAAAAAGCCAATGATTTTGTGGTATTTTAATGTGCCACTTGTGCACTTAACTAACGGAATGATCATTTTGGTATCGAAAATAAAAGTTTAAGGATAATTTGGTACTTTTTAAAGTTGAGGGATAATTTTTTTGTAAAGTGGAAAGTTGAGGGACCAAAATGGTACTTTAACCCTAAATTATTATCTCAAATTTTTATTCTCTATATCACTACTTAGTTTTCTTATATTCTTTTCATTTATTTTTAGCAGTCTTAATTTAATTTTTTTAACTTTTTAAATATAAATTTTAAATGAAAATTCAACATATTATCTAAATAATAATTAAAAAATTTTATTAAATAAAAATACTAAACAAGAGCTATATATAGTAAAAAAATAAAATAAAAATAAGCGTATTAAATAATATTCTAAAAATAAAAAATAGACAATACAATTTAAATTTTAAACACTTTAAATTAAAAATTAGGTACACTAAAATTAATTGAGAAAGTAAGTAAAAGGGTGCGATCTAACACCAGTGCACTAAGTTACATTAGAACTCTACAAATAATTTATGATATACTAATAAGAAAAATAAATAAAAAAATATAATTAATATACTTTAATCTATAACACATATCAAAAAAATTCATAAAATATTAACTTTCTTATTAAACCTAATAAAGAATAAAGAATTTTTTTATTTGATGCCCTTAATGCACGTGTTAATAATATATTAATTACATTTTTTTCATTACATATTATAGAAAACATAAAATTTAAATTCAATTTTGTCAATCACTTAATTAAAATTTTACATGTATTATTAATGTTAAAAATAAAATTATTTTTGTATTTTTGCATACAAATTATAAAAAAAAGTGTGACTGATTCATCCCTAAAAAGGTTGTTTAGATAAACCCAAGAATAAATTTGTAGATTTTAGCTCCTTACTTTATATTATGACACTTTTAGCTCCTCATATTTATGAATTGAAGAAAATAACTCTTACATAATATCAATTATATATAGTAAAAAAAATAAAATAGAAATAAGCGTATTAAATAATATTCTAAAAATAAAAAATAGACAATA